TTCCTCGTCGCAGCGCATGTTGAAGAGGTGAGGGGAGGGGAGGTGGGAGTGAGGGATTGGATGGGAGTGAGGAGGGTGTGAGTGAGGAGAGGCTGGGTTTCTCGTCGCGGCAGGTATTGAGGGGAGGGGGTGTGAGTGGAGGGGAAGGGAGGGGGATTTGATGGGAGTGAGGAGTGGTCGTCAACCAGAATTTTCAATTCTGGTTTAAGAGTTCTGTGGCACTTGCAACACTCCCCTCGACATCCTAAGGATACCAGAGGAAGGAAAATCCAGCTTTCTTGAACTTTTGCAGATTTGTGGAGTTTTCAGGGTTTTCGGGGGGAAAAAAAGTAAAGTAAACAACACAAATAGGTCATATATGTTCCAAAGATTAGAGATAGTTCTTGAGAGAGACAGACAAAGAAAAGAAGCCGGAGAGATAAGGACGAAAGATGTTTGGTAAGAAAGAAGAAACTAACCACTTCAGAACATCCTTCTCATTTTATCGTATATCTCTCCGGCTTCCTGTCGTGGATTTAATTGTGGCACGCCGCGGTGGAATCAGGCTCTCATCAATTTTTGGGCATACAAAGTTGATGGTGTCACCGTAAGGCCTGTTCCATTTTCCTTGTTTTGATTGAAAATAATACCCATCTTTGTTGAGGTGAGGGTCATCAGGTTTCAGAGGTAAAATTAACAAGAAATTGGCCGCCAAAGTTGAAATTTTTCTTTAGCTTGAGAGTCCGTGGAAAATGAAAATTTTCATTTTTTCTGCTTTTAATCCACGTTTTTCAGTAAAATCCACTCAGAAATCTGCTCTTTAATGGGCATAAAAGGTGTTGAACCCAAAAACAAAAATTTGATAAAAATTCCTTTCGTTATTTTGAGGAGCGCCTGATTTCACCATGCTGCCTCACATATAAGTACGAAAGATTAGAGATATTTCTTGAGAGTAACGTACAAAGAAAAGAAGCGGGAGAGATAACGACGAAAGATGTGTGGTAGGAAAGAAGAAACAAGTCACTTCAGAACATCCTTCTCATTTTATCGTATATCTCTCCGGCTTCCTGTCGTGGATTT